CACATTCAACATTCCTAATCATGATGCATGTAACTATATGTATGTGATCAAGTATATACTGTATATAGCTGCAAGTGGAAAGGGCCCAAGCTTGTATTCAGACCAACTCACTTTTCCTCAATATAATGTCCCCACCTACCACAACATTCAGTGAGTTCGGGTTTGCACTTAGGTAAATGCTAGCTTCCTATAGTGGTTCATGGTCAACGCATCCATTCAAACGTACTGGTGGGTTACACAGGTGTTTTTCGATGCCTACAACAAGAAGTTTGGCTCTGACGGATCCCACGAGGCACTGGACTGGAAGGAATGCACTGAGAGAGTTGAAGAGTTCAAAAGACAGTTCATACATCAGAATATCATTGACACCGAGATCGATGATACGTCGTATCCTTTTTACACTGCTGACTACTTGGTAGAGCCCTCTCTATAACACAGAGTGCTCTGCCTTGCTCTGTATTAGTGAGCTGCCTCAGTTGGTAGAGCCCTCTCTAGAACACAGAGTGCTCTGCCTTGCTCTGTATTAGTGATTATTCAGCCCAGCCAGCTGAGCTGTCTCAGTAGCTCAGTTGGTAGAGCACTCTCTAGAACACAGAGTGCCCTGCCTTGCTCTGTATCAGTGATTCAGCCCAGCCAGCTGAGATTCCTCAGTAGCTCAATTGGTAGAGCCCTCTCTAGAACACAGAGTGCTCTGCCTTGCTCTGTATGAGTGATTCAGCCTAGCCAGCTGAGCTGTCTCAGTAGCTCAGTTGGTAGAGCCCTCTCTAGAACACAGAGATCTCCTTAACGCAAACAAATAACCTAGAATGATGCAGTGGCTTGGATCTCTTCAGATTCATGATTTCTACAGCACAAAGCAGAGACTGTTGAGTGCACAACGTTCAGAAGAAGAACTGCTCATTAAAGGGGCTGAACCCCCAGTAGGGAAAGAGAAAACTGGGACAAAAGAAGACACAAACTTTTCTGAAGAATTGAATAATGATGTACGACATGTTGAATATTAAATCACGTAAATTGTATCGAATATTTAAATAAAAAGTTATGCCTAAGTTGTAACTAATCAGAGAAATAGAGTCTGAAATATGCCTCTTTTCTGCTCTTCTTCTTTAGTTCACTCTCACTCTTCAACTGGTGTGTGTGTTTGTGTGTGTGGGTGGTGGTGGTGGTGTGTGTGTGTGTGTGTGTGTGTGTGTGTGTGTTTGGGAGGGACAAAAGGATAGACAGGTATTATTACAGTTAAGCCTTTTGTAGGAACCGCGACACAGTGCAGTTTAAGAGCTTTACACAGAGGTGAGCTAAACTATATTGTATCGTGTAATGTGTATTGTACCATGATCTTTGGGTCTTTTCCTGGAAACTTGTGATGGTGAACTCCAGTGCAATCCCCTACCTTCTCATACTTTGCCTCCCTGAGTTAAAGATTAATACAGCCACAAGATTTTACATCTGCACTAACTGACACTACCAACACACACCATAATAAACTTTATTACTGTGTGAACATGTGTAGCTACTACTACTCTAGAGTGACATTCGTGTAAGCAAACATGGCTACCCTACTCACTTTTTTATAACTCTTCTCCGTCATTAACCATACAGATTATTGTTACTTTTTGCTAGAAGTTGTGTTTGTCCTTTGATCTTGGTGACATTTGCTGCAGAGGATCTTCTTTCCTCTCTGGAAATAGTCCCCCACCGTCTCCTGCTTGCAATGACTGCACTGCGATAGTAATAGACACAATACATCATTAATTACAATCTCCTGCTTGCGAATGAAACTGTCTCTTGCTGATAGCTACACTATTATGAAGGATTCACTTTACAGAACCCTGCACTGGCACCTGCATTGGTACCATGGATATTGGCGGGTATTTCTATAATCTTGAATAGACTTATTCATTACGTGCAGCCCCAATAGTTGGTGGTTTTTAATCCAAGCTGGACCTCTAAACTAGCCATGAAAAAGATACCTCTTCTGGGATTCCTTTAGTGCACTTCATTACGACGCCGTTGCGAATCTTTCTGCTGTAGCGAAAGCTTCGTCCATTTCACCTGACGTCCCTTGTGTCACACTGTGTCGTATGTCCCCGGCCTGCATGTAGAGTAGGCTATACATGAGTGGAACCTTCTAATCCAGACACCAGTGGGACTGAAAAAGGTTTTCTTCGCGAAATTTTCACTTGCTTCTGAATGGGCTTAGTGCACATCAATATAACTGATCATTGGGAGGTGAAAGTTTTATTTTTTAATAATCATAGCCAAAAAGCTAGTACAGTTGTCCTTGAATTCACACAAAATTAAAGAAACACCGAGCATAAAACTTTAGTGCAGTTTTGATGAAGTATGTAATTTGTTGCGTTACCAGACTTGTGCGTGACTTACACCCTTTCCCTACTCTGACTGAGTCATAAAAATCTACATGTGCATACTATACATGAAGTTATATTTTACGTTATGAATTTGACAAAATATCTTAAGTATGGATGCCACACAGTCAACAAAAAATGCGGTGCGTCTAACCCTGGATCTCTAAAGTCCTCATCTCTCTCGGTCCATCGTGGTAAGCCCTCTCTAGAACACAGAGTGCTGTGCCTTGCTCTGTATGAGTGATTCGGCCCAGCCAGCTGAGCTGCCTCAGTAGCTCAGTTGGCAGAGAGCCCTCTCTAGAACACAGAGATCTCCTTAACACAAAAAACCTAGAATGATGCAGTGGCTTGGATCTCTTCAGATTCACGATTTCTACAGCACAAAGCAGAGACTGTTGAGTGCACACCGTTCAGAAGAAGAACTGCTAATTAAAGGGGCTGAACCCCCAGTAGGGAAAGAGAAAACTGGGACGAAAGAAGACACAAACGTTTCTGAACAATCAAATAATGATGTATGACATAAATCACGTAAATTGTATCGAATATTAAATCACATTATTATAAAAAAATTATGCCTAAGTTGTAACTAACTAGATGTTTAATTCAGAGAAATAGAGCCTGAAATATGCCTCTTTTCTGCTCTGCTTCTTTAGTTCACTCTCACTCTTCAGCTGGTGTGTGTGTGTGTGTTTGTATGTTTGTATGTTTGTGTGGAGGGACAAAAGGATAGACGGGCATTACTACAGTTAAGCTTTTGTAAGAACCGCGAAAGAGCTTTACACAGAGGTGAGCTAAACTATATTGTATCGTGTAATGTGTATTGTATACATGATCTTTGGGTCTTTTCCTGGGAACTTGTGATGGTGAACTCCAGTGCAATCTCTTACCTTCTCATACTTGGCCTCCCTGAGTGAAAGATTAATGCGGTCACAGGATTTTACATCTGCACTAACTGATGCACACTAACTGACACACACCATAATAAACTTTATTACTGTGTGAACATGTGTAGCTACTACTACTATAGTGACATTCGTGTAAGCAAATGCAGCTACCCTACTCACTTTTTTATAACTCTTCTCCGTCATTAACCATACAGATTATTGTTACTTTTTGCTAGAAGTTGTGTTTGTCCTTTGATCTTGGTGACATTTGCTGCAGAGGATCTTGTTTCCTCTCTGGAAATAGTCTCCAACCGTCTCCTGCTTGCAATGACTGCACTGCGATAGTAATAGACACAATACATCATTGATTACTATCTCCTGCTTGCGAATGCATCATTAAAAACTGTCTCTTGCTGATAGCTACACTGCAATAGTGCAGAATGTTTGCAATTGACTCTTACACTACAATTTGAAGGATTCACTTTTTATATATACAGAACCCTGCACTGGCACCTGCATTGGTACCATAGATATTGGCGGGTATTTCTATAATCTTGAATAAACTATTCATTACATGCAGCCCCTATATAGTTGGTGGTTTTAAATCCGAGCTGGACCTCTAAACTAGCCATGACAATACCTCTTCTGGGATCCCATTAGTGCACTTCATCACGACGCTGTTGCGAATCTTTCTGCTGTAGCCGAAAGCTTCGTCCATTTCCACCTGACGTCCTTGTGTCACACTGTGCTCGTATGTCCCCGGCCTGCATAGTAGAGTAGGCTATACATGAGTGGAACCTTGTAATTCAGACACCAATGGGACTGAAAAAAGTTTTTTCTTCGCAAAATTTTCACTTGCTTCTGAATGGGCTTAGTGCACATCAATATATCTCATCATTGGGAGGTGAAAGTTTTTTTTTATTAATAAGCCAAAAGCTGTAGTATATACAGTTGTCCCTGAATTCACAAAAAATTTGATAGGTATATAAAGGAACACACATGATAAACATCAAGCATAAAACTTTAGTGCAGTTTTGATAAAATACGTGAAGCATTTGTTGCGTTACCAGACTTGTGCGTGACTTACACCCTTTCCCGTACTCTGACTGAGTCATAAAAATCTCCACGTGCATACTATACATGAAGTTATATTTTACGTTATGAGTTAGAGACAAAATATCTTAAGTATGGATGGACACAGTCAACTAATAATGCGATGTGTCTAACCCTGGATCTCTAAAGTCCTCGTCTCTCTCGGTCCATCGTGGATTGACGCAGTTGAACGCTGCCTTGTTCTGGCCACCACCGTGACAGACCGGTACGGTCTGGTAGTCTGGCGAGCCCGGTACGGCATTGTTGCGAACCAGAGACGGTTGACCGGTGAGCTGAGCTCCAAAGTACCAGCCACGTCTGCTGCGTGGGACCGAGTCCAGTGGCTTCAGAAACTCACTCAACTGAGAAACGACATTGCAATATAGTATTGTTGCACAATAAGAGCAGACATTGGGAAAAGCCTGGAACATGATGGTAACCAGCTGTGTGGAGCCTCCTATATAGTAAGGCCCACACTAGGACCATTACATATGAAGACACTAGGATATAACGTAGGTGTCTTTAGAATCCATGCGGCTGATAGTTGAATTGCACTCTCTTTGTATATTTAGGGGGGACAGCAAAATTTGGTCGAGGTAGGGATAGGTGCAACAGTAAGAAGACAGTACCATTCCATACACCAAATGTAGTCAAAGTATTAGGGAAAGTTGGTTTGTCTCTTCGCCCACTCTTGTGCCTATAAAAAATGCGAAATTGTGACACCCTTATTTAGGGGGGATAGACTTGCGAAATTTGCGCGAGATAGATGAAATTACCGTTCCATATATACTAAAACCTTAGTAAAAGTATTAAGATAGTTGGTTTGTCTCTTTGCCCACTCTTGTGCCTATAAGAAATTTAGAAGACTAAGGATGTGTAAATTGTGGCTGGCCTTTATAATACGTTGGTTACCAGTGAATTCGAGCCTGGTAGGGATGCTACATATCACACACTCCCATGAGTTGATGGTCTAGTGGCTAAAGCTCTTGCAAGTGGAACAAGGTTTTCCTGCTACCTGGGTTCAGGCCTGTCAACTACCACTTTTTCTTTTTTCAACCTCACTGTCTGGTGGGTATAAAGGCAAAATTTCAACTACTGCTCTCGGGTCACTCATGTGGCGCAATCAGTAGAAGTGGGGACTACCAGTATAAAGGTTCCGGTGGTCGAGAGATCGATCCCGGGCTGGAAGCTGGTAGGTGGTCCAGAGCACTGGCTGGGAACAGCTCTGGTTCCTCCCCTTACCCACTCTCTGTTTGACAATACTGAGTGCCCCCGCTTCACTGGGCATGTTGGCCAACTTGTCCAGTGGAGTGGTTTTTTTTTACTTTTTTTTTCTTTCGAAGTGCAAGTCCTTTTTTATTCATTCTCCAAGTTGCACCAGTGCATTTAAAAACTCATTCTCGAAGTGGTCAAGTGCTCATTATGTAAATGTATGTTTGATGAACTCCAACTAAGACTGGATATTCACCCCGTTTATGATCCTTTACTAAGTCTTCCTAATAGCAAGCTTTCTAACCCATAGCAATCTTCTATGTCAAAAGCTCTGTTTTTCTCCCCTGATTGCAGTGTTTCTTTACATTAATCTCTTATAAAAGTGAATCCTAAGTACACCAGCATACCAGGTCACCAGTATAGCAGCCAGGTCCTCTGTGAGGCTCTCCACGAAGTCCCTGTTCTATTCCAAGTCTCGTGGGTGACGTGTGGACTGGAAACATGAGTCTCTCTACTCCACTGCCAAACGCCACCTCCTCCCCAGCCTTGAAACCTAGAGAAACGACATTACGATTGAGTTAGAAGGGATAATATGTTGTAGCTCATGGTATATAAAGTCGTGATGACATAAAGCACACACGTGGGTCTGGGGATACATTAAACTGGGCACCTTGTGACATTGAAAGTACTTAGTATTACAGGGAAGAATCAGGTTTCCTTTGTAGAGAGGTGTTCTTCATTATGAGGCTCGGAATATTAGTATCCGCAGCTACGTACTACGTCTAAGGACCGAAAGAGCATGCGTGTGACCTGCGTTAGTTTTCTTACCGACTTCCTCCATAATCGTCTAACTACTGCTGGACGACACACTAGCTCAACCAGCTACGCCCCTTTTTGCATGCACTCGATCGGTCGCATTCCGGGGAATCCCCGCCAGTCTCGTGCGCTAAACAAGCAGGAAAAACAAGAGCTTTTCAGTTTCCACCCCTAGTCACGTCGGCGACGTTTCCCGCGCCGCCCAGCGTCGATCTCTGGTAGAAAATAGTGAAGGAAATGGGTCGGTTTGGGGTGGAATTGCTACTCATAATCTTCGCCAGCCTGACAGTTCTCGGCTTCTTGCTGACGTGAGTAGCTATGTCACGTAGCTATGTACCTTCGAAAACTAGCTAGTTTCCCAGGCGAGTGTATAGTTTACACACCCGCTCTTTTCTCACTGCCGTGCACCTGTGCGGGTATGTTGTTGTGGCAATACGATCTGTTAGCTATTGGGATGGCTTTTTGTTTTGTGCTGCATATTAGCTAGCTAAACAACATTGTGTATTAGCTATGTTTAGTAATAGCATGTGTGTGGATATCATAACATTGATTCTTTTCGCACACAGGTATTGCATTTCAGTTGCACTCAATCACGTGACTCCCTACTGGCCCTACATCAGGTAGTTTGACTTTGGAACTACTATTGTTTGCTGTAGTTGTGTGTACAATAGCATCAGGGGCTCAAGTTTATGGGAACACCATTGTGTGGTTGTACATTTCCAAATTGTTTTAAACGTGGTATATATAGATTGTTGTTGCTCCAGTACAAATTAGGGTGCTTGCAAAGTTTACTTATTCGAGTGCTTGTTGCTGCTTATTGTTCGGGTCAACTTTGGATCCACTAGTTTTACACCTTGCACATTTAGGGATTAATTCCCTCTCCTTTTCCCCCTGTTCTCCCCTTTACTGCCCCTCTTTCTCTTCCTTCCCTCTCTCTCTCCCCCTCTTCCTTCCCTCTCTCCCTCTCTCTCTTCCCTCTCTCTCTCCCTCTCCTCCTTCACTCTCTCCCTCTTCTCTTCCTTCCCTCTCTCTCTCTCCCTCTCTTCCTTCCCTCTCTCCCTCTTTCTCTTCCTTCCCTCTCTCTCTCTCCCTCTCTCCTTCCCTCTCTCTCTCCCTCTCTTCTTTCCCCCTCTCTCTCTCTCTCTCTTCCTTCCCTCTCTCTCTCTCTCCCCCTCTTCCAGTGATACTGGCGGAAAACCACCTGAAAGCTGTGTGTTTTCTTTCATCTGCAACACTGCCGTCCTTTTTCGTACGCTATCAACATTCACATACAGTGACACCTCCGAATAAAGGACACCTCTCTATAAAGGACACTTGGTTCTGCCCCATACTAATACATTTGTGTATATAACTGCATCCGAATAAAGGACACCTCTGAATAAAGGACGCTTTCAATGTCCCCAATGTGTTCCTTATTAAGATTTCAATATGCTATTTCAACCAAACCCTCGTCCTTTTGACCCTTTATCAGCCCTTTATTTGGCTGCTCTGTCATTATTTTACCTTCTCTTTTCTTTTCTTTTTACTTTCTTCTCACTCCCTCCCTCTCACCTCCCTCCCTCCCTCTCCACACAGAACTCCTAATAGTATACTTGCGCTACAAGTCGGTCCATACATTCTACGCCACGCAAGTCTCCACGTTTTGTCTGCCGTTGAAAGTCTTCAATTTCATTGGGTTAATCGTCGGACTGGCATCTTCATTCGGGTTTCTGCTTGTGGCAAACTTTCAGGTAAACAGTCTTTACCAGCAATAAGTGAAGCGAGTGCACCGGCCTGTAGTTGTCTGAATTGTGCTGGTTTTGCTGAGCGTGTATTTGTAGTGCTGTCTGTACCGTAATGAAAATCTGGATGAAGGACACCTCTGAATATATGGCTTCAATGTCCCCAAGATTTTCCCTTATTCAAAGGATTTGCACAGTACAGTTTAGAATAGGCCAGTAAAAGAAGTGTCCCTTATTGGCGAGCGAATCGAGCCCACCTAGTCGTCTAAAGGCAAGAGGTTTCACTAAGTTTTCACCTATACTGCCACTGCACATACCGTAATGTTGTACATGATTTTGACACACAAAAAATTGAACTTCATTCTAAAATACGTGCGAAAAATTGAACTGCTCGCATTCGCTCACCAAATTTCCAAATACGTGTGGAGAAGATTGAACTGAACTGTTCCCGTTAGCTCGCCAAAAATTCCATTCTGGTTTTATCACACAACAGAATGACTATGTTCCAGCAGTTCATTTCCTCGGAGCGTTTGTAGTGTTCTCAGCGGGAATGCTCTACCAGTGGGTCCACACCTACATCACGTACCGAGTGTACCGCTCCGGAGTGGCCGGGCATGTCGGGGTCGGCTGGGTCGTTGCCCAGGCGATTATCAGTCTTCTATCACTCGTCTTCTTTGTTGGAGGTATATACATCACTAAGTACGGTAGTACATATACGTAGGGATGACACAGGTTATCTGAGATTTTCACTATAAGACTTACTACCTTATCCACTGTGTGTATGTGCACAGAAACTTTGATGAGTCACAACAATGAAAGTGAAAATGTATTTCCCTTGTTGTTTCGTGAAATGAAAAATGTATTTTTACCGTGTTGTTGTTACGTGAAAGTTAGGCATTTGTATTTCCCTCGTTGGCACGTGAAATGAAAACTATCAATGTGTGGGTATTATAGGTGTGTACATGTGGTAGCAAGGCAATGGAAAAGCAAACAGTGGTAATGCATTCGAGATGATGATTTGCACCCGAGGTGGGAATCGAACCCACGACACTCTGTAGTCTAAGGCAGAATGCTCTAGCCACTGTGAGGTCTACCGGGGCAGCTCAGCAGACATAATGGTGTTCAAATCAGCAACACAAGACGAAAGCAAACTTGAACTAACTATGCTCTGCACGCAGTAGTATGTAGTATGTATATTCAGCAGTATTGTATCGTCCATCTTGTCTGCAAAACATGTTCCACAGACCAATCGTACCCTTACCTCGTGCAACTTTTTTTCCTCCTCCCCCCACTTCTTCCCATCCCATCACTCTCAGCTACTCTGTTTGCGGGTCTGGCTGGTAGTCGTCGTCGTCATCATATCGGCCACGGTACATTTCATTGGTCAACTCATGATGGGGTTAGTTTATATAGGAGCTAGTTGTATTGCAAGGTGTGTGCCGTTTTTCATTCGGAATTATTTTACCACATTCAGGATTATGGAAAATCAGGAAATTTTACTTATTCGACCCACACACAGTCTCTATACATGCCATATCACTAAGTACGGTAGTACTTAGTATATAGGGATTGACATGTATATAATGCACACACACAGTCTCTATACATGCCATATATATAATACACACACACATACACACACACCCTCCCTGCAGGTGCATATTTGCACAATAGTTATGACATCATAAGTTCAGTCAATTTATTGTTTCGCGTCTGATTCTCGCTGAACTCTCTTTCTTCATTTTTTCTGTCAGGGTTTCGCATATCACGTCCTCAGCTCAGCGTGTGAATGGGCGATGAGTACGACATTTCTGGTATACTTCCTCACTTTTCACCCCGATTTCAAACGAATGAAGATCGACATTGTGGTTCGTCGCAGATCATCGATCTCTCTTCTTTTTGT